GAGGTAAAAATAATCTTTCTACCAGCATTATTAATGGGCATAAGCTCACTTTTTTGCATATTTATTTTATAACCTGATATTTTCCCAAAGGCAGTCAGTAATGTCATAATTTGTGGTAGAGTTGTTAGTGGTTCAGATATATATAGGAGGGTGTCATCTGCATAGAGAGAAATTTTATGTTCAAAGTTGTCCCTCTGTATACCCTTGATATTGATATCATTTCGTATCGCAATGGACAGAGGTTCAATTACCAATGCAAATAATAAGGGGGACAGAGGGCAGCCTTGTCTGGTTCCCCTTTCTAACGAAAAGAAAGGAGAAATGTGACAATTTGTACGTATTGCTGCCATAGGTGATGAGTATAAGATTTTAATCCATGAAATGAACTTTGTGCCAAATCCAAATTTTTTAAGAGTGTAAAAGAGGTAGTCCCACTCCACCCGATCAAAAGCCTTCTCAGCATCAAGTGAGAGAAGGACTTCCGGAACATCAGATGGAGTGGGATGGTGGAGGATATTTAGAAGTCTGCGTATATTATAGAATGAATATCGGTTTTTAATAAAGCCTGTCTGGTCACCAGAAACTATTGTAGGTAGCACTATTTCCAGCCGATGCGCTAATATTTTGGCGAATATCTTACTGTCAACATTCAGCAATGAAATTGGTCGATAAGAGCTGCATTCTGATGGATTTTTATCTTTTTTATAGATTAGAGAAATAATTGCTTGATTCATAGTCTCTGGCAAGGAGCCCGTGACTGAGGATTCTTCATATAGGGAAAGTAGAATAGGGGCAAGTTCGCCAGAGAACTTTTTAAAGAATTCACTTGGAAAACCGTCTGGGCCTGGTGATTTTCCGTTTTGCATAGATGACACTGCTCTAATAAATTCGTCTTTTGAAAATGGATTCTCCATGTCTAGAGCGAACTCTTGATCAATAGTGGGTAGACTAATTTTCTTAAAAAAAGAATCAAATAATGACTCATCTTTACAAGACTCCGAAGTATATAATTGTGAATAGTATTCTCTAAACCGATGGTTGATCTCTAAGGGATTCGTCAATTTAGTGCCAGTGTTATCATTAACTGACATAATGGAATGTGCTGCATTTTGTTGTCGAAGTTGGTGAGCTAAGATCTTCCCTATCTTTTCACCATGTTCATACATCTTATGCCTGGACTTAATTAAAAGATTTTCTGTTTGTTTTGTACATAATAAATTAAATTCAGACTGAAGAGCTAAACGCTGTCTAAACATGTCAGGTGTAGATGAGTGTGCCAAAATTTCATCAAGTTTAAAAATATCATTTTCAATTTTTTTAAGCCGCTCATGTTGTTTTTTCTTTAATCTGGCACTATATGATATAATTTGGCCTCGAAGATAGGCTTTAAGAGATTCCCAAATAAGACTAGAAGATATTCCTGGAGTCTGATTGTGCACTAAATATTCTCTAATTTCTGATGATATAAATTTAACAAACTCCACATCAGAGAGAAGTAGTGTATTAAATCGCCATGGCCGATAGTTGTTTGATGTAATTGGCATATCTAGAGTGATTAATAATGGCGCATGATCTGATATCACTATTGCATTATATTTGCATTCACTAACTAGAGGAAGTAGTTCACTGTCCAGAAAAAAATAATCTATACGTGAATATGTCTTATGAACTGGTGAATAAAATGAATAACCTCTACACCCAGGATTTTGGAATCTCCAAACATCAATCATTCCATAGGTTTTAAGAAGTTGGTTAATCACTTGAGTTGTACGACTTGGTATCATTGGTTTGAGAGAGCTGCGATCCAGTGAGGGTGATAGTACGCAATTAATATCTCCTCCTAATATAAGATGATGAGTATCTATATTAGGTATTCGTGAGAAGAGACCCGTAAAGAATGCACTGTCATCCCAATTGGGTGCATATACATTTACCATAACTACCGGAGTATTATTTAGTCTACCCACTACCATTATATAACGGCCTGCTGGATCAGCTTCGATTTTTGATGCCTCAAATGAAACCGTTTTACTAATGAGAATTGCTGTTCCTCTAGATTTGGAGTGAAAAGTCGAGTGAAAGAGTTGTCCCACCCATCCTCCTCTTAGTCTAAAGTGATCAAAAGTTTTCAGGTGGGTTTCTTGTAGGAAAGCGATATCTGTATTTAACTGTTTTAAGTGTGAGAGAACCTTTCCACGTTTCACTGGATGATTCAAAGATTTAACATTCCAACTTATAAGATTCACCTGGCAAATGCCTGATGCGTTAACATTGTGTGGTTTAACCATACGTCTTAAAAAATGTAAGCTTACATACAAACGCTTCGTTTAAATATAACAGAAAAGACCCTTCCAATAAGATTGTAGAAAACAAAACAAGAAGTAGAAGTATAAAATGAAGTGCGACATTTACCCATTCCCAAACACCAAATAGAACATGGTGCAACTTTAACCCCTCGCAACAATATCCACACATAAAGTGCTTACTTGGGGAGTTTTAACCTCACAAGTTGCTCTGCACATTATTAAAGAAAGAAAACAAAAATGAAATTAAAAAATAATAAATTAAATTGGCGCATATTATTAACAATCACCTATTAAAACAAGGATGACAGTTACATAACAGCATAGTAATGATAATAATAAACTCAGTAATTGTACTGTCCCAATTATATTTCCTGCTTTTAAGTTTAACTGAAAATAGTAAGTGATTTTGTATCAGTAATATTGTTTTTCACTCCTCATCCATGAAATAGGAATTCAGTCAGTCTCTGCATAGATGTAATGTTCATATACTCACTCAAACATGGTCATTTAGATGGGAGTGTGAGTGTATGAAAAAAAACAAAGTCACTGAAGTGGCTTGGTACTACTCAATCAGAGACGGTCGAGCCGTCTTAAAGAATATTATTTTTCACATAAGTCAGGGCTTCTGCTGCATCTTGGAACTGCTTTTCCGTCCCGTTGTGTGTGATTCGGAGCCTGGCCGGGTGAAGAATGCCATAACGAACACCATCTTTTCCTCGTAGTAGTTTTCGGACTTCGTTAAAAGCCGATCTTGCACGGGCCACGCTCGGCGGGTAGTCGGGGAAGATGAATATAGTTGCGCCGTTATGATGAAGGGGTCCGGTTTCACGAACCCGGCGTAGAATTTCCACACAGTCCTGGTAGTAATGCAATTTTGCAACAATGGCCCTGGGTTTACCATCTGCACGTTTTGCCTGGAGAGTGCGATGAGATCTATCGATCAGTATATCTTTATCCATTTTGAGGGTGTCTTTGAGCAGCTTCGACACTGAGGCTGGAGTGCATGCGCCAGGATCTTCGGCTACATTCAGTATTCTAATGTTTGACCTCCTCATTCGCCCTTCCATGTCCAAGCATTTCTCTTGTAGGGTTACTACATTTTTCTCCAGTTTGCGCACGGTGTTTTGCAGTTCTGTAACATCGTCTGAGCAGCTGGATAAGCCTCGTTCCATGTCTGACACTGTCGTTTTAATTGCCTCAAGATCTGAGCGAACAGCCGAAGCGTTGCTTGCTATCTCGGATTTAACTGCTTGTAATTCAGCTTTGACCATTTCAAATTCGTTTGACAGTGCAGTTTTCAGTTCTTTTTGAAAGAGCGAGGTTATTTCCGTTTTGATCGATGAGATCAGCTCAGCTTTAATCTCCAAAATGTCAGTGTGTTCGGCTGGCTCGGACATCATGCTAGGTGTATTAGCATCCTCTTGATTAGCAGCGGTTTTCCCCGTGTACTTATATTTACGTAGTTTGCCCGCCATTTGGATTTATAGAGAACCCAGCTGCTTTATGTGAAGTAGTAAAGTCTTAGATAGATGTAGCATCTCATATTTTCGATTAAAGCGCCTTAAATTTATAAGTTATATTACGTTTTTTGCAGAGCTCACCCAACTTTTACCTTACTCCATCGCCTGCTCAGTAGCGCCGGGCACAGTAATATTATTGACTAATATAAAAATGTTTATCTGATTTATGTACAATGCAGTTTGTACAGTAATATTTTCTGTCTTTTAGTAGAAATATTATACGAGAGACTTGCTTAGTTTACCAGATAAAGTGAATCTAATTGGATTTGCATTTTAAACATTAAATAAAAGTTTAAAAGATATTATTCTTTGTTTCACATATTTAGGATTTAGTTATGATACTCCCAAAATATTTCGGCAGAAATTAACAGATTTTTATCAAAATTATTTGCAGAAATAGCAAAAAACGTCGACAGATTCTGTCTGGCCCTACTCATGACTCATAATACTTAATGCTTAATACAGAATGTCTCATGTCAATATCCATGTTAACCCTTTTTACAATAAACAAGTTAAATTTGATGTAACTAAAACAAATCGTACACAGCATTACGTGGTTAACAACCTTTTATGCTTTGCAAAACATTCTTCATTTGTAAATGCAGGTTTTTGGACCTTCTCTTAAAGTGTGACTTTGAGATTATTAGACTCATGAAAGGTCAAATAAAAGTATCCTCTTTCAATTTTTATTTTGCTCACCTATCATTGCTGGTTAGTAATAGTATATATATATATATATATATATGCAGACAGCATACAATATAATCTATCAGTCCACATGAGCAGTACAATATGTATTGCATATTAATAATAATTGGAATTTACAAATAGCTGAAGTCCTTCAGTAGTCTGTTAAGTCCTGGAATTAGCATGTAAGCTAACAAATCACTCATATTCTCATTCACAATAGAGATACTGGGTTTCCCATACACAGATTTATTTGTAGTAATGTGGGAGTTTTCACATGAACATTTCTTCAAAGGAAACCAGTTGTCTACAGAAAGTTTAATTGTCTTAATGAGGAAAACTTTTTTATTTTCTAAAATCAGTCCATCAAAATAAATGTGTAGTGTTTTAAAACCAAAGTCTTCATTTGTTACCCACAACACATCAAGATTTGCTCAAGTCAAAATCTCATAATCTGACACAAATCTGATCTGTTGTTAAAGGCAAATGGCATTGTGTAGTCTGAACAGGGCTTTATGGAGTCTGCATCAGTCTCTCACTGTCATTGCAAGTTCACACCGGCCGAGTTTAGGTGGATTTTTATTCACCACCAAGTTTTGTGAAACTGCAGACAAAAGGCCAAAATTGGAGGCAAATCGGTGTTTGTTCGAGGGAGTGAAAATCAAACAATGTGAATGATCAAAAACACAATCTAAGGGTGTAGGACAGTTTTCTCTGCATCTCCCCAAACATTTTCTCCTCCCTATTTTTGCTCTCCATTGTGAAGCTTCATGTGATTGACGAGGCTTCTTTTATATTTAAAGCCCTTTCCACAGTCACTGCATCGAAAACGCTCTCCTAAGTGAGTCTTCATGTGTTGCTTAATGGAGTCTTTGCGTGTGATACTCTTTCCACACTGCTCACATGTAAACACTGTGGTTCCAGTGTGACCATTCATGTGATTCATGAGGCTAGCTTTGGTTGTGAAGCTCCTTCCACAATGAGCACATGCAAACGGCTTCTCTCCAGTGTGACTTATCATGTGGTGTTTGAGTGAGCCTTTATGTGGGAACCTTTTACCACACTCTGTGCATGTGTAAGGTTTCTCTCCAGTGTGAATCCTCATGTGGATGGTAAGGTTTTGTTTTTGAGAAAAACGTTTCCCACACTGTGTGCAAATAAAGCTTCTCTCTCCAGTGTGAGTTCTCATGTGGGCTTCAAGGTTGCCATTTTGCTTACAACTTTTTCCACACTGAGGGCAAGAATAGAGCCTCTCCCCAGTATGAATTCTTCTGTGCACTGCCAAGTTTCCTGTAGAATAGAAGCTTTTTCCACACTGTTGGCATGTGTACGGCCTCTCTCCAGTGTGAATTCTTCTGTGCACTGCCAAGTTTCCTGTATTATAGAAGCTTTTTCCACACTGTTTGCAGGTGTAAGGTTTCTTTCGAGTGTGAACATCAAGGTTTGGCTTTTGACAGAAACTCTTTCTACTCTGTTTACAGCTGAAATTACACCTAGACTTGGATTTCCGAGGTCTTCCACGTGATGAAGTCTTTTTAGTCAGTGTGGGTTTTTCATCAGTCGTTATTTCTTGTTGTTTATCTTCCAATTCATTCCATTGATGTGTCTCTTCTTTCAGCACTATCAGGTCTTAAAAAAAGAACAAAAAAGTGAACTTTAGTATGAAGGCTTAAAGTGGCAAGCATGAAATCAATGTTTACCCTAAATACTAAAATGAGCTAACCATTTACTCTCCATCATGTGGTTTTAAACATTTCCTTTCTTCTGGAACACAAAGTAAGTCAGCGTTTTTATCACAATATCTTATTTTGTGTTCAACAGAATCAAGAAACTCATCAAGGTTTAAAACCGCACAATGGAAAGTAAATGGTGAGGCTATTTTCATTTCTGTGTCAGAAATACCTTTAAAGGGTTTCTATTATGAACCTTTTTTATAAGATGTAAAGTAAGTCTTTAATGTTTCCAGAATGTTTCTGAGGTTTTAGCTCAAAATCAGATCATATACCTTGCAGAATATTTCATTTTGGAGGTCAGAGAAAAACCAAGCTCTTTTTGTGCCTGTGGCTTTAAAAGCAAATGATCAAATGCACTCGCTCTAGATTACTCATGCTGTGTTCCCTCATGTGCATCTCTTTCTTGGAAAACCTGATTGACACAAATCCTGCATGTTCATAGCAAGCGCGCATAATTCAGCTTATATTATTGAGTTTGCATTATTGTATATAACTTATGCAAATGTTTCCCGGTACTATTTTGCAGCTGGACAGGTATCCGCTGTTTAAAACATATGCTGGATAAATTGGTGGTTCATTCCACTGTGGCAACCCCTGATGAATAAAGGGACTAAGCCGAAGGAAAATGAATGAATGAACTTGTGCAAATGCTTAATGCCATGTTTGCTGTAAACTGGAGTGATGAGAAGATGACAAACTTTGCTACTTGTTTTCATTCATTTGTACTTTTGTCTTTGTTTTCTTGCCTTTGTGCATGTCCTGAGGCTTAGCTGAAGACCTATATCAGTGGTTTCCAACCTTTTTCTTTGGGCCCCCCCCCCCCCCATAAACATATACAAACATTGGAGCCCCCCCACCATATAAATACACACGCACGCACGCACGCACACACATATGTACTGTGTATATATATATATATATATATATATATATATATATATATATATATATATATATGTGTGTGTGTGTGTGTGTGTGTGTTTGTGTAATATTAATATATAGTAATATGTAAAGAAAATATGAATTAATCAGTTTTAACTTGTCTTGGCCTTCAATAAAACCAAAATTTAGGTAGGCTTTGTCATACTGTCTAATCTTTTTCTTCGCCTCTGAAGAATCACTGCATTTACGTTTGTCTGCCATTTTTGTTTTGATTTTGCCTTTAAGATACGTTGACAAGCAGATTGCGCGAGTAAGCAAAATTTAAATAATTATTTAAAGTTATTTATTTTAATTATTTTCAATATTATGTTGGAATTTTAAGCATGTGTTTAGATTATTTTTTATTTTTTGGGCTGCTCGATTTTGGGAAAAATCATAATCCCGATTATTTTGGTCATAATTGTAATCACGATTATTCAAAACCATTGCCAGTTAAGGTCAAAATTATTAGCGCTCCTGAGATTTTTTTTTTTTATAAATATTTCCCAAATTATTTTTAACAGAGCAAGGAATTTTAACAGTATTTCCTATAATATTTTTTCTTCTATTTGTTTTATTTTAGCTAGAATAAAGACAGGTTTAAATATTTTGAAACCAATTTAAGGTCAATATAATTAGCCCCCTTAAGCAATATATATTTTTGATTGCCTGCAGAATAAACTACCGTTATAATGACTTGCCTTATTACTCTAATTAAGCCTTTGAACTGCACTTTAATCTGAATGCTTGTATTTTGAAAAATATCTAGTAAAATATTATGTGCTGTCATCATAGCAAAGACAAAAAGAAATCAGTAATTAGAAATGAGATATCAAAACTATTATGTTCAGAAATAAGTTAATAAAATATTCTTTCCATGAAACAGACATTGGGCAGGAAAAGGTTTGCTAATATTCAAGAGGGTTAATAATTCTGACTTCAAGTGTATATATACAGTTATTTTCCACCCTGCAAAGGAAAGAAAAATGAATACAATAGAATAAAAATATGAAACAAACTGTGCTTTAAGCATCTTCACTGTAAGAAAAACACTTTAACTACAGAAATCCTTCAGTCAAGAGCAGCGAGGGTTTTCTCGTTATGTTTGTTTAATAATGATAAAAACAGCCGGCAGAAGGATTATAGCGCGCTGTATCTTTAATGGTTTCTCTTTCACGTCTTTTGATCCTCAACTCGTTTGTTTATTATACAAATGAGGGTTAATGTAAATAATCACTAAACACCGCGTTTTGACACCTATTTGACCATTAAAGCGCTCACGTTAAGATGACTTGTCTGCTTACAATTAAATATAATATATAAATAGAAATATTAACTTAGAATCACGGATGACTTATTTAAGCGCAATAGCCCAAATACATGTCATAAAATATTATTATTAATAACCATAATTTAAATAATGAAATTATATAACCTATCCCAATCCTGACATAGCTGCGCTTAAATAATAACTGAAGACGCTCCTTTAATGCATTCGCACGTTATGTTAAATTATTTTAAATTACACGCCCCATCCATAACCAACCTTAAATCATACCTTAACTCTCTGTTTAACAGTTCCAAGTAAACTGTTTTGTGTGACATTCTCATAAAATCTCTCTGCTTTTGAATATCTTTGTTCGTAATTGTTCTTAGCCCTGTCAATGTTTATCTATTTTGTATTATTATTATTATAATATTTCCTCTCCTGTTTCTCTTACGTTTATATTCTTTAGCTGTCAATATAATACTTCGCGTCTATGGACGAAAGAGTCAATAAAGACAGACAATGTGTAACATCATTTTCATCAAAAGACGGTTTATGTGCAAGTAACCGCACCGGTCCGTGCAGGGAGCGAGCCAGCATGGGAGACAAGCTACAAGGATGCTAAAGATTGCAGAACAACGACTGTGGCTGGATCCGAGGACTGATATTCACGCGATCACCAGCTGGCTTCCGTTACATAAGGGCAAATATAGATGACTAAAACCTCATTTACTCATTTTACTCATACTTTTTATCATTTATAATGTCCAAAGCATTGATATTAATATTAAATGCTACTTTTTTGCCTTTATTAGCCTTTTTCTCGCCTGTTTACTGGGTTAAAAATCTTACATTATTCCATCTCCACCTGCTGGTGAAAGCTAGAGCAGCTGGCGATCTTCAATCTGCAATCTACTGCTTTTCCTGCAGTTCCCAGATGTAATGTTGAATTTTAACAGTCGAATTTGATCCACTGAATTTATGGAAGCGAATATTTGAACTGAAATAAAATGAACTGAAAATGACCTTTTGAATATTATACATCGTATTTTTAAAGGGTATTGAATATTTTGTAAGTGAAATCTGAAAATTGAATATGAATTATTGAATTTTTAAGCATGAAAACGTGTTTGAAATATTTTTAGTTGAAATATTCACATCTTAATTAAACAGCTATGTTAAATTTCAGGACCTAAAAATACAAACCCTGGAATTCAAGTCATTAAAATGCAAGAACTTGTTAATACGGTGTATTATTTTTTTCAGTTTGTGACATTCAACAAGCTTTTTAATTCAAGACTTTCGGCATTGATTTTGTTCCATATTTAAGGCCCTGTTTACACTGATGCGTTTTAAAACGAAAACGGAGCATTTTAGAAAAGCTAAAGAGGCCGTTTTCATTCTAAAACGCCGCTTCTCCAGTGTGGATGGGGGACAACGAAGACACATAGTTCCGTCCTGCATTCTCTTCCTGTAAGTTCAGACTTCTCAAGTTTGATCAAGGCTGCAGTCTCCCCCTCCCCAGTTTGATATGGAAAACAGACTACCGAGGACACGGGTAAATCTTCAAAGGGAACAGTGTACTTTATAACTTCATTCACATCACCCTGGCTATGTTGTTTCACTTTCTTAACAATAAAATGAAAACATGATTTAAGGAACTGCCTATTTTCATTTTGATATTATCAACTTAACAGACAGCAGAAATGCTGAGGCGTTGTGCTGCATTTATGAGCATCATCTTCACTGTGTGGATATTTAGAACAAAACGGAGCCTATAACAACTGCCTCCTTTCAATTTCAGTGAAAATACGAAACATACCCTCTCTTTTGCTGAATATCAGTTTTAATAATCGATAATGGCCATTATAAAAGTATAACACAATAAGTTTATACATTATAGGAAATAAAGGCAAGCGATCAGTCAATATACAGAATGTAGGCTTCGTGGTTACATTATCATTAACTTATCTTTGCGCTCAGCCAAAGCACGTTACCTAAAAATAAGTAATAGATTCCAATGACCAAAGTCGGGGAATATGTCGTTAGATACAGACAACAAGATGAATGAAATATCACGTTTAATAAATATAGGGAGATTAGATCCAGCGGGAGATGCTTGATGAGCAGTTCGACGAGCACAGCTCTTATTTTGATAGATATTCTGCAGCGCTTGCCCGAGAGTGTGTGTGGTTACGTGTTGTGCTTTTTCAGCGTTTTGGTGTGGACAGAGAGTTGTTCAGAAAAGCTAGGTGAAATGCTAGTGTGGACATCGTTTCAAAACTAAAACGCACAAGTGTAAAAGGGGCCTGATAATAAAAATCAACCTGTTTGTTTCTGCAGATCTTCCGGTTTGACTCTGAATTTTTCTTCAATCTTCACATCTTCACTCTCCTCTTTAATAAACGCCATCTTTATAACAGTGTGGAGATCAGTCGATTCTGGAGGAGTTTTTCTCTGTGTTTGGACACTTTATCCTGTTTAAAATGAACAAAACAATAAAAATGTCCTGTTTAAAATAAACAATGAACAGAAACAAAATAACTTCTCTTCAACACTTAACTACTTAAACAGTTTTTTAATATAAGAGTAATTAACAAAAAGAAATCAGGTAAAACGTTTCTTTAAAACACTTACTACACACTTTTCTGTTACTTTATTTATAAAAAAAGCCCTCGGTTACTGAGAATAAAATAGTACTACGTTGTATAAAGGGTTAAAATATTTCCAACAGCAGTAACATAATTTAACATCATATAAAAAACTAAAACTTTAACTTTAAATCGGTTTATATCTGTAAACGTTTTAAAACAAACCTTTCTCCAGTTGAATTACAGCGCTGAAGCGGCGCCGCCTGATGACGTCACACGACACGCCAAAATAAAAGTCTTTTTTGTTAAGCTTTTTTGCAACTTACTGTTGCAGTCATGGCTAGGGCCAGACGGAATCTGTTGATGTTTTTTTGCTATTTTTGCGGAAAATTTAGGTAAAAATCTTCTGTGGAATGATTTTGGCAGTATCATAACTAAAACCTTAATATGGGAAATAAAAAAAATAAAAAAAACTTTTTTACTTTTATTTAATGTTTAAAATGCAAATCCAAATAGATTCACTTTATTTGGTAAACAAAGCAAGTCTCTCATATAAAATATCTACTAAAAGACAGAAAATATTACTTTACAAACTGCATTGTACTTAAATCCAATTAACATATTCATATTAGTCAATAATATTACTGTAATTAATTTTAAAACTGAATAAATTTTAGATTTACACACATTTACTCACAGTAAATAAACAGAATTAATGAAGGGCTAAAAATCTGCGGAATTCTGTGGAAAATCTGCGGAATTCTGCGCGCGCAGATTCTGTGTGGGCCTAGTCATGACTTCTAGGCCTTTTTCACGGCTGTTCGCACGCACATGCGGTTGAGCGATTGTTGCGTAAAATAATATATCCTAAATAAAACTAAAGTGAAGTATTCAGAGTTTCAGAGAACAGTAAAATATTAGGAAAGATACTGAAATTCTGGTTACTTTACAACAGTGATTTTACAGAATTCAGAGGAAATCTCTAAATATTAGAGGGAACATAAGCCTGATAACAGATCCTATCGTCGTCGCAGCGAATGCTCTATAATAATGTAGCCGTTTTGCAAACATCACGTTTTTATTGAGTTTGTGTCTGTCATATACAGTGCATTTTTTACAGAAGCTTTGAAGAGCCTGTGCGGTGACCGCAGAGATTCAGTAATCGTTATAATAGGATCATGTGCATTGCATAGGATTATTCAGTATTTACATTCTTTGGTCGCAGCGCTGTATTTTATTTAGGGGCGTAGATTTAGGGTGGACGGTGGGGACGTGTCTCCACCAATATCCACAAACTACCGAAATGTCCCCACCAATAATTTAATTCACTTAAAAACATTGCGCTGTCAGTATAAACCTAGACATGCCGAAAGGGTTAAATCACGTTCTCTCCTCGAATCGCACCGCCCCCAAACACATATGAACATTGTGATTGGCTGTGCCTTGCCCTGCTGTCATGTGAGTGGCTGCTTTCAGATCATAGTTTCAGATACAAACAGCGCCAAAACAACTGCGCGGGGGAAATTTCCCGATATGTGGGCTGTTCCTCGCACAAGTGAGGATGGAGTTAGCAAGAAGAGGTGGACATAAAGAGCTTTTTCCAACGAACAGTGTAAGTCACATAAACTCAAGTTTACTACTGAATGAGTCCATCATGATAATGCCGTTATGCTAGTGTTTTTATCGCTTTGTACGAAAAATGAATGAAAGTCTTTATTAAACTCTCTCTTTATCAGTTAATAAACATTATTTTAACATAACACTTTCAGGCCTGTAGCCAGCCTAATAAAAAGGGTTAACATATTTATTTTCTGAAAAACTGAACCTTTTTGCAGTTATTACCTGATTTTCTGTTTAATTGAGGTATAAATAATACATTTTAGTGACATATTAAGAACTAATTTTTGCTGGATAATCTTGTTGGATAGTTATTACAACTACACTTTTTGATGTACCAAAACTATTTCCTACCATTTTGTCAAATTGCTTTATTTACACATTTAAACTGTAAGTTTTATTACAGTTTTATAAATAATAAAAATACTTTAAACTAGAAATTAGGACTTTAAATTCTTAGAATAAAGAAATAAAGAGTTCAGATGCCAAAACCTCTAAATGCCATGTAAAATGAGCATTTTTCTCAAACTTGTATATTTATGTTCAGTTATTTCACTTTAAAGGCAATGAAAATAACGTATTTGTCACTATAAAAGGAAAATCACTGAGTCCACACACAGGAGTTGGAGAAAAATTTCACACCACCTAAAAATTTATTTGTTTTTAATTAATTTATTTATTTATTGACCCTGCTAATCCAGCGGGAATATTTTTTTCTATGGTTGCATCTGCATTTTATGTTCTGTGATAGGCATATTGTATCTTTCTCAATTAATTCAATAAAGTTGTTTTTTAAACAGCTTAAGCATTGTGATTTTAACCTGTATTTTGACCCTAATAGTAAATTGTTATTATGCACTGCCTTTTATACTTTAGTTTTAATTCATTTCAAAATTGTATTTTATATACAATTGTTTTATTTCTGTCATATGCTTGCTGTGTGTGTTTAGATGTGTATTTTGTAATAAACTGCAATTTATTTAAACAGTAAGGCCTTTATCTTTATTGATTGCTTGCATCATTTCAGAGAAAACAACTAAAAACTGTAAATTCTAATTACTTTCATTTGTAAAATAGATAATAATAATTTGGTATTTTTTCTCAAGCAATGCTAAGTGCATTATTTATTGCATACTACATGCATCTATTTAAAAACCTGGTTAGTGATGGGAAGTTTGGATCATTTTACTGACTCGGATCTTTGAGTCTCGTTCATCGAGATGAACAAATCTTTTTTTCGAGTCATTTCGTTCATTTGGTTCATGTTGCCAAAATGTTATTAAAATTTTACTAATTAGTTTCAAACACATCTACAACTAGCCCAAAAGGTTGATTGTGTAATACATAAGTGACAAATAGAATATTATAAAAAGGAGAAAATAATACTTTAACGTTTACCTGCTCTTTTGTCATTAAAGGCATTTTTGTCACTTTGCTCAGCTCACCTCTTCATGTCTTCTAATGTCAGTGGTTCGTTTATGTTACACTGGCAGTCACATTTAATCTTAACCAATGTACACAGTCTGAGCTGATAGGAGCCATGATAATTAGTTCACCTATCAAGTCTTAAGTCGTTCCATATTTACGTGACAGAATGACTCAAACCTGAGGACTCGAGAGATGAGCGGTTCAATTCTTTTACCGGCCCTAAATGCGTATGATTGGCCTGTAATGAAGGACTGAATCAGACCCGATAGAGCACTCGAGAGATGAACAGATCAATTATTTTTCCAGCTCTAAACACGTATGATTGGCCCGTGATGAACGAGTGACTCAGACCTGATAGAGGACTCGAGAGATGAACGGATCAATTCTTTTTCCGGCTCTAAACACGTATGATTGGCCCGTGAGGAACGAGTGATTCAGACCTGATAGAGGACTCATGAGGTGAACGGATCAATTCTTTTTCCGCTCTAAATGCGTATGATTAGCCTGTGATGACCAAGTGACACAGAACCAATAGAGGACTCGAGAGGTGAACGGATCAATTCTTTTTCCCTCTCTAAATGCCAATGATTGGTTTCTGCCTTTCCGCGATGGACGACACGAAATGTGATGAAGACCTGAAATAACTATACCACCTGCACAAATGTGCGCACGCGTGGATTGACAAATCACTTCCTGAGAGGACTCGTAGTTCCTGAGTCATATTCCCTGGGGTCCGTTCTTTGTACCTCGCTTAAATGATCTAAGATGATTTGGCAGATCCTGAAGCTTTTAATCTTGATAACTGATCTCTCGCTAATTTGGTTCTTTAAAGAAGTTCGCGAATCAGATTAAAATGTCTGGATTAACTGATCTGAGATCGCTGCTTGTGTTGTGAAGGACAGATCTATTGATCATATAACAGATCATCAGGTCAGATCCTCGAAATCATCAGCAATGTCGTTCAAGAGCCTCTCTATGCATAGTACCTGATTTCCATTTTCCGAGCTGACTCTGGGTTTGGATGTAATGAAACTGGAGGTTCCAAAAAACACTTAACACATGATTAAGGATAGATTCAATAAAAATGAATTAACGCATTTTTTGCTTTGATCTTGAACAGAGGCCAGGTTACCGGTCAGGTTTGAGACATGATCATCCAGACTCTAAAAGACCACGTCCATCTTGTCAGCATTTTCTGCATCCTGACATGCTGGTTTTTGTTGTGTATTGGTTTTTTCTTCTTCGATTTTTGTTATCGGGCAAATGTCTCTTAGGGTTAATTTTTGTGGTGCTGTGGTTTAGCTGGTCAGCTGACTTTTATGGCAAATTACAGCAAAAAAGAAGACAAAACAGAATTACATTTCAAAAAGTATAGACAGTATCAACTTTGGCACGTACAATAAGAGAAAAAGGGAAAAAAATAATAATAAAAAAAATAAAATAAATAAATAAAATAAATAAATAAATAGAAAAATAAAAATCAATAGTGTGGCTTAAATGAAACTACAGTTGTGCAATCTGAAGCACACAATACACTCTAATTTCGCATTTAGGAAAGAAAAAATAGATAAATCAATTTGCTGGAACAAGGATTTGGTCTGTAGTTGACAATAAAACATGTTCTTGGATATATTTCCTAAATGGGTCCCAAGTTTTTTTAAACTGATTAGATGAACCTCTAGACAGTCTAATTTTTTCCAACTTAACAAAAAATAAGACATCACGAATCCACTGTGTTGGGGTTGGAGGCTTCTGATCCTTCCACTTAAGCAATATTAGTCGTTTGGCCAGGAGCACAATAAAAGCTATGCTATCAGATTGTATTTTTGTAA